TTTTTTTTTCAAAAAAATCCATACTGAAATCCCTTCTGACGCTCATTCTGGCTGTTTACTTTCAGGATGTAAAAGTGTACGTAGGGCAACGGCGCACTGCGCTGCTACGTTCCCCTCCCTTTAGAAGTTCTTGGAGTCTGAAGGAAGTCCTATCAAATCTGGACGTGGAAGTGGAGCAGGTGGTAAGCACCATGTCCTTCAGTCACCAGGATATCGTAGCTGCTCTGAGCAACCGTGTCCGCATGACCAAAGTGACTAAGGAGAGTATGGCTGACAGCATGAGGGCCATCAAATCCAGTCCTGGTGAGTATTCTCCCTCATTTTGGCTTGTTTTCTCAATAGCATACTCATTTAATTTTCTTAATCTAATTTCTCCACCTTTTAGGCTACGAGATCACATTCAGTCTGCTCAACCCAGACCCAAAGTCGCACAGTCTTCACTGGGATATCGAGGGTGCCGTTCAAAACTACATTCAGCCTTTATTGAACAAACTTGCTCCTATAGCCAACTTTTCAGTGGACTCTCAGGTACCTTAGAACAATTACATTGTAGTTTGTGTGAACTCTAACAAATGTGACTTCTCACAGGGCTGATGGAATATTCTGTACCCTGCAACGGTTACAAATGTGTCAACCTGTAGAGAATTTGCTGTACTGTTTATGCAACAACAGATAAATTTGCACAACTATTAGAGCTGCTTTTTTTTATTCATGAGAGAAATTAAGAAACATGGAGTGGTGCAAGAGAATATTTTACAACAGCTTTGAGACTCATTCAGTCAGTATTTGGAGTCAGAATTTTTATATTTCATAATATTAGTTGTATTGATTTAAGCCTTTTAATATTTATTTTCTTTTTATATTTATATTCTTCACACTTTTCACATTAAATTTGAAGTTCTCATTCACTGATCCCAGATATATCATTCTTTTGTTATGAATTCCTTGTTTTTTGGTTTGCATTCATCAACTTTCAAATACAAGAACAAAATAATACAATAAAATAAATAGTTTCCTTTCATTTAAATTTAATTAAAAAAAATAGGTATTACTGTGTGGTTATTTAATATGTCAACCGCTTTCCACTGAGTTCTATTGAGCAAACATTGAACAAACATAACTATCATTATATGTGTGTACATGTATATGTACGTGTGTGTGTGTGT